TATATACAATTAAAAATTTTGTCTCTTTTAAAAAGTTTAATATCTTACAATATATCTCTGGTGGAGCAAATAAGTGGTGTAATGTCTGACAACGGTAATATTTAGATCTAATATTTCCAAGATACTTGCACTCGATCAAAATGTGCTTCACCGTCAACGGAACATGACAGTGTTCACATTCTGGTTGAGGCTCTCGCTTCAAGATGAAAATTTGAATTTAAAAAGTATGACCAATGCGAGAGCGACACAAAACAACTTCATCCCTCCTGTTGGTTCAATAGGAGTTGGGCAAATCTCCTAAGAGAGGCTTAATGTGATGAAGTTTATTTGTGTCTGCAAGATCCCAAGACCGTTGCCAGCGGCCATAAATGAAATGATTAATGCAAGATTTAAAATCATGATATGGTAATAAAAACTGAAATATGGGAAGATCTAAAGCAGGCTTGGCAGCCAAGTCTGCTTGATCATTCCCTTTATATCAGTATGACTGGGGGCTGCACAACTCGTAGGATAGTAGCAGACGATAAATGTCTGCTACTAATGGGTGCTCAAGCTGTTTATTATTTATTGCTTGTAAAGAGGACAAAGAATCAGAAAAGATTATATGTTTTAGATGTGATGATAATTCAATGAACTCCAAAGCCTGAAGAATGGCCTGGAGCTCAGCAGTAAAGATAGAAGCCGCAGGTGGAAGACGACCAGAAATGGTCTCGGATGGTGTGACGGTAGCTGAAGCTACCCGATTGCCGTCTTTCGAACCATCTGTATAAATGGGAGTATAATCACCATACTTAGACCTTAGCTCCCTAAAGAGCGTCTTGAACACCGTAGAGCTAGTGTCTCTCTTTTTATGTTGTGTAAGATCGAAAGATCGAATGTGCGGAAGTTTTTGGATGCAGGTATTGTATGGCTGGGTTAGGAGACCCCAGAAAGACAAGTTGCGCCAGTGGTGGGTGTGGTGGGGGGAGCCACCCATAGTACCTCCAACATTGGTTTATTCAACATGGAAGGTGCAAGTTCCACTTCAATGACATTTGATAGAGGAGTGTGCCCTAAATTATTTGCAATATTTCGATATTACTCTGAACTATTTTTTCGTTATCTTGTGATCTATTCCAGGTATGTAACAAACAACTGCATCGACATGTTTTATACTGCTAGGAGCAAACATATAAAATATAAAATTAATGAAGTTTTAGATATAAGTATCACATAGTCTCAAAAATAACGAAAATATCACTTGGCCCCATCTGTAATTAAACTTTTAATCAACATGAAAGGTGCTAGTGTGAAACCAAGCCTAAATTGTACGGAATGATATCAGAAATCATTATCGTCAACTTCAGAATGACATTTCTGGTGTCAATGTACTTAAGAAGAGGATAATGCAGGTTTGCACCGAATGACCCCTGATTAGAAATTTAATTAACATGGAAGGTGCGACATTGGAACAAAGTATAAAATGTTGGGAATGATCATAGGATTCAGAACGACTAACTTAAGAATGAATATTTTGATAGTAAATGAACTTAACAACAGCAGATGTGATCAACAATACCCATACAACATCAGTGACAAGCAGTAAAATATGGCTGGAATGCTAAGGTTCCTCTTGATCTCTGATACTAATAGTGATACTTTACTTTCTGCCCTCTGCTTTCATACTAAGAGTCATTTAAAACATAGATCTATGTCATGTTATTGTAGACATCAATCAAGATCCAATCAACCAGAACTTAGGAGAGGTAACTGTCTTGAACTCCGGGAGTAATTGGTTAAGGAGGACATTGAGGAATCTGATCAGGATACCTCTGATGATGACTTCGACATTGCTTCCTAGCTCTAACGAGGACAGTTGCCTTTCCTAAGTAAGGTTCTGGTTGATTGAGTCTTGATTGGTGTCTGCAATAACATATATACCTGGAATAGATCACGAGATAACCACAAATTAGTTCAGCGTAAAATCGAAAAATTGCAAATTGGCCTATTCTTAAGTGGCCTTTCCACCACAAATCCCATTCTCAAGTTACATTTCCTACTTTAGGGCACATTCCTCTATCAAATGCCACTGAAGTGGAACTTGCACCTTCCATGTTGAATAAACCAATTTTGGGGCGTACTATAGGTTGCTCCTCATACCACACCCACCACTGGCGCAACTTAAGAATTGGGTTTCTGGGATCTCCTAACCCAGCCATACACCACCAGCATCCCAAACCTTCATCACATTCTATGTTGAACAAAACCCGCCTAGCTCCCGGACAAAGTGCAGTATCAATATATTGCATAACGTTTCGCTCTCGACCATAAATCAACTTCATTCTAATGGCGTATGTTATCACTTCCCATCCGTCGTCCGTCCATCCTCAGAAAGTGGTAAATCCCAAACCTTCATCACATTCTATGTTGAACAAAACCCGCCTAGCTCCCGGACAAAGTGCAGTGTCAATATATTGCATAACGTTTCGCTCTCGACCATAAATCAACTTCATTCTAATGGCGTATGTTATCACTTCCCATCCGTCGTCCGTCCATCCTCAGAAAGTGGTAAATCACTCTCATCCGAATTTCATCTGTGATGACAAATCAAGAATGCCTTGTAATGTAGGGGTAACCTCGCTTAATGCATTTTTCTTTGTATAAAGCCAGGGTCAGATAAAACTTGCATGGGGCCCCTGACTGAAAATGTCACTGCAGTCCTTGCCGCAACAGGGATTATTCTGATCATTCCGCCACGCTCAAGCAAATGCAATTTGTATGTCATTATGGTAGATAGATAGATTTATTTGGCACAAATAGATTTATATGATATAATGCGTATCCGTCAAACAGTTTGCATTGATTTTTAATTTCATCCTCTGACTTTAATTGTTGGGCTGTTGAAGAACTCTGGAGAAATTTTTCACCCAATTCCCCCAGCTGAAACACAATACAGATCCTCATTAAAATACAAAAATACAGATGCAACGTCATCATTTGGTGTTGGAGTACCATTATGTGAAATAATGATATGGGCAATGTGCAAGTCGTATATTATTTAATGCTTAATGAAATATTGCACTCGAGTGACGATTTCATTGAAATGCTCGTTCGAAAAGAGAGCGAGATAGAGAGAAAGAATGGGGTTTAACGTCCACTCGACACAAACTAGGTATATCCATACAAGTGTGTTTATTTTTAAACTAAGATTACATGGTCTACTCTCCGTCATCTTTATTGGATTATTAAGAACAACTTGTTGACGATTTTGTAGTTATTGATTATTTTTACAGGAAATGCTGCTACGTGTAGCTACAATTCTCTATTTCTCATCCCAGTAGCCTTGATTCTTACAGTGTATAATATGGTTGGTGATTTAATTTATTCGGCATGGCCTGTCATATCGTTTTTCAGCATGACATGGCATATCTGTTTCATTATCTTTATCAAATATTCTGTTTCCAAATTGGTTTGGGCGATTTTCCCTTTTCCCGGAAATCGTGGTGGTGGATTTCATCTTCCCTAAATATCTGTTTCATTATCTTTATCAAATATTCTGTTTCCAAATTGGTTTTGGCGGTTTTCCCTTTTCCTGGAAATCGTGGTGGTGGATTTCATCTTTCCTAATTAACGTGATGGTGAATTGACTAACTGGGGTTTTGATTGTGGTTTTCTGGAAATGATTTGTAAGATTTATTTGGCGACACTTTGCCAATTCTGAGAGGGATGTTTCGCTCATTTCTCGTATTCCTTTATTTAATTACAATTTTGTTTCAACATTGTAAAATAGTACACACTAATACATGTTTACCAGCACACATACCCACACACACACGTGACACATACATTCACAGTCAGTATTATGAGTATACACAGAATATTTTATGGTTAAATTAGCGCATGTCGGCTTAAGTATTAATATTGTTTGTATTTCATGTGGTTTCTAACATCTTGTATGTTCCGAAATTTCAATCAATCCAACTGCTAAGCCGAATGCAGTCGATGGAACATTTATGTCCACGAATATTTTTTGCTTTTCTTGTCCGCAGTTGACGAACATGGTAACACAGTATAGCGCCACATAAAATTACCACATGGTAACGCACATGGTAACCGCTCAATGACGTAACATAATGTGAATGTGATGTGATATGTATGTGATCGCTGATTGGTGCTGCATAGAAAAACTGTCCCGCGAATGTTCGGCTTCAACGCAGACGACGAACTGGGTTCACAATATCTATCACGTTTGATTTCGCGTATATTTTTTGGGGAACATTTTTGTTCGTGTTTTTAAACCCGCAGATGGTGAACAAATTGATCGGAACAATGTTTTCATTAATGTTCTGCTAAAATGTTCCATCGTGTGCGTTCGGCTGTAGGAAGTCCGGACTAGCGGCGATAAAGAATATATGGGCTCCCACATATGTGGGCTCCCCCTATAGATGAGGAATAGACAATAGTATGGTAGTAGATCTAAACAGGGTCGGAACACGTACGGTCTTGTGTCGCCCATGACGACTATCTTGCAACATCCGCACACAGAAAACGCGTGCCGTTTATGGAATAATCGCCAGTCGTTACAAAAGCAGTATTTTTAATATACATCTGATTTTCAAGATTAAGACAGCAGAAACCACAATCTATCCACTGACATGCAATTTGTTTACAGGCTACACATATTAAAATTACCTCAAACAAACTAAAAGCACGACCATGCTATACGAACTCAGCAATAACCATTTAAGCTCTGTTTACATTGTATTTGATGGTGCGGGTGCCCTGGCTTTCTTTGTTTGTGTTGCAGGCTTTATTCTTTGAAAGTTTTATTCATGTTTCAGAAAAAAAACTTCGTTAACCTTTAATTCAGATTTGACGTTCCTCCGAACTTAACGTAAAGATTTATATCATGCATATATGTGCTTCTATTATCTAATCGATGTATTTAATTCTAACCACACTAACAGTAACAACATATTTCGTCAACAAAACTCATAAAGGTCTTGTTTTTTCTTCTTTAGATCCTACTACTATCCCAATAGAAAATACGACTGTGACACAATCATCCATTAGTCAAACATCCACCAGCGGTGCCACTACCAGCTCTGATTCATCTTCATCCACTCCGTTATCTTCATCTTCTTTACCATCTACATCCCAGCAGGTTACCACGAATGGCGCTAGCACAACCTCCAATACACCACCACCCGAAGACTTATCGGATGAGATGTTGGCTGTTATTATCGCTTCTAGTGTTGTCGGTTTTATTTTGTTGGTTGTCATTATTTTTTTCATCGTATTTTGTGTTGTGATTCGGAAACGGAAAAGGAATCCCCAAAAGGTACAACACCCTGGGGATCATAGTTATTCCAATAAGGGATACAACTATAATCGAAGGCCTGACATGCATTCTTCAGAGAGTAATCAGCAGAGCAGGCATACTCCTCGTCAAATGAACATTGCTGACTTTCAAAGGCAAGATCATTTACATGGTCCTGCTCTAACTGGGAGTCCACATGGGCACTATCCGGTCTATCAGTTACATAACTATCCATCTAAATCGGAGTATAAACAGTCTTCACGAAACAAGTCATCTGCGACTAAACACAATGCATCATCACGACGCGATCCACGTTCTGACAAGTATCGAGATCCAAATAAAAACTACAATTATGTTGACAGAAATAGTGATTTGAACCAGGAGTATTATATCCGACCTTATGCTGGTGGTTATCCGTTGAGATCCGGGGATTATCGTTATTATAGATAGAGCACACTATGACCGCTCGAACTGTTAATGTGTTTGTGTGGCTATATTTCATTAAACATACACGACTTTCTTGTTCGAATTCCAGAACCGTGTGCGATATACCAGCTTCCATACATAGTTATATATTCTAACGCTTCCTAATTATTTACATGAATATGAAATAATTCTTTAATGACATTTTGTGTCGCAACACGGTACGTTTTCACAAAGCATTGTGATTCCCCGATATTTTCACAAAGATATACAACCATGTATTACGATTCATCAACTTCAACTTTATTATTATCAGCTTCATATTCCTCCCAGCGGGGTTCCCGAATGGCAATACCCCCCCCCCCGGAAGGCTTATCGGCTGTTATTATCGCTTGTAGTGATGTGGTATTGATTTGGTGGTTTTCATTTTTTTCATCATATATTGTATAGTAGTTCTGAAACGGACATGACAATCTCAAAGGTCACTACATTCGAATGTTGACCACATAGAGGATATAATTGCCATTGTCCACCCAAGCCGCATCTGTTTAGGTGGATATAATTATCATGAAAAACTCCCAAGTTTAACAGAGCCCACCTAACACAATACGGACACTATCTGGACTATTATCCATCTACTGTTATGTATCAAAAGTCGTCAAGAAGTAAAAACATTAGCGCCATGGTAGATTTTAGAGACAGAACTTGAAGCTTCCATTATGACTAATTCTCTCTTTGGTGAAGTTAGTAATGTTATAAAATAAAATTTGTTGTGGAGAAAACTCTAATAATTAGTAATAATTTCCTAATATAGTTGACTTACTAGAACTCTAGAGACGTGGTAATCGATAGTGCCACCATCCCTTTGACATATAATAATATGAATTAAAGTCACAATCACATTGCATTTGAAATAATTACATAATCTTTTCCCTGCAGTTTTATTTTTATTTAAACTTCAAGAACTATATATCACTTTTCACTTTATGTGACATTTCTTTAAATTATGTTAAACCATATTCACAAAAAGGTTTCATGGTATTATTTTCGCCATCAAGTCTCGCATATTATGTAACGTATCTTTAAATTACGTTAAACCTTAATCTCAAAAAGGTTCCATGGTATGATTGTCGCCATTACAGTGTTCCGTTACCTCTTTCTTTCGATGAACAATCCGGTACTTCTTATATACAATTTTATGGGAGTAGGACAATTGCCGGCGGGACAACTGGCGATGATATTTGTTTTTCTGTATTTATCTCCTTTTTGTTAAAACCAATTCTTAATAATTAAATGTTCTTTATAATTATCACACAGGTTTAGTTTATTAGCACTCACTAATAGTAAGTGCAGGAGGACCGCACTACACACAAGACAAAAATCTACAAGATAAACCTGCAGACAGGTCAGAATATAGACATGGCAAAAAATAAACAAATGGCTCTGAGGGCCAGCCGTAAGCGTCCACTGTGCTGTACAGTCCGGGCCTGTAACAATACAGGCTTCACTCAAAATGAAAAAAAATGATTTAAGTGACTGACTATGTATTATAGCACTCACTGACACAAAGTTATCACGGGTGAATATATGTGCAGTACCACATAAATATAGTCCAACACATGGCGACTGCTGAACTTACGGACAATGTACACGCTCTGCAGTCTCTGTACTGTTAATTTATGTTTTGATAATGATTACATATATATATTGTGCACATCCATCAATTAATAAACTATACTAAAACGATTAATAGTTATGTTTTTATAATGACTACATATATACATCTTCTTAAGTATAGTTTATAACTGTTGCTTCATGTATCATTTAATAAACTATACTAAAAAGAACAAATAAAATCACTGGCAATAAAATCAACAGTTATAAACTATAATAAAAAAATTAATAATATATAATAAAATGGCCGGCAGTAGTTGTCCTCGTCGGCAGTTTTATATAAAAGCTAATTAAGATGCATTGATTTTTAGAAGCATTTAGTGACCCTATTATAATAACAAGTCATATTATTTTAAAGGGTATCTGTTTTAAATTGTATTAATCAAGTAGAAGTGTCCTTGACTTATTAAACATGTGGTGTCAATGTTATTTTATTCCATTCAAACCTCATCTAAAACTGGAACTTTTGAGATTTATTTTCCTTTGTTATTTTATTACTATTTACAAATTATATATGGCTAGATATTAATTTGAATAAATTATCATATTAACATTATTGAGAATTCACGTGTATTATGAAAGGCTGAAATGAAAATTGTACCACCGTATCATTTTCTTTCCGATCACAATTGATAGGAAAGGGTGTGCCACGATGTAGAAGTGGAAACTACATTTTATTTGGTATAAAATATCAGGTTATGTTATGAGCAATGTTTTTAGAAGACCATTTGTTTTAATTTTAATTTCAGGCAAATTTTCACTTTAATAAAAAAAAATAAAAGATCTCATACGCGTCCATTCGACAAACTTGTTGACATACTATTATTTTTATTGTCTCTCATTGCTAGAGTTGTAGTAAATTTGTAGACATAATACACTTTCCGAAATAAATTAAGCGCTTTTTGTGAAACATTTCCCAAATGTCCTTTAGTTTCTTGCAATATTTAATAATTTTTACAGTCTTCAGTAATATTTTCATATTTTAAAGACTGAAAGGCGCCCTTCCGAACAGTTTATTATTCTGATTAAAATACAGCTCAATATTTTGTTTCGTTTCTTTATACTTTCGATAGCTTCCGCTACACTAAGACCTGGCCGGTTGTACTTGGAGGTCGTGTCAGGGGTCATGCGAGTAAGGTTTAGCCCCATAACGCCAGTTATACGATTAATCAATCAACGTCGGTGACAACTGTTCCAGGTCAGGATGTAGTGAAAACAAACTTTTGAACTATAAAAACCGAAATGAAATAGGATCTGTGTGACTACCTACCCAAATCAAGGCCGTAGCTTTAATGGCCAAGCGGGCCAGACTGCGCCCGCTCGCCATCCTTCCTTTTCTACCCCCAAAACTTTCTCCTCTCCTTTCGATGAGATTTTTAACTTGGGCATTCCCTGCTAAGACACTGTGTCTCAAATTAAACTGGACCAAGCCTAATCCCTACGGCTTCCTCCCGTAAGTTTCTTAGGAAACATCTTTGTCTACGATATCACCTTAGGTGGAAGTGGACGTAAAACTCTAGAAACGAACGAACGAAAGAATCTGTGTTTTAATCAGATTTAGCACGAAGCCAATTTGATGTTATTACCGAGTGTGCCTTTAATCAAAATAACTTATAAGAAACTATGATACAATATCAAGCCATCTATCTATCGAATGACGTTTATTCGGAACACAGAATCTGTAGGGAAAACCGACAGAAATTATAGCATCTTACCAATCCATATTTTTCACCCGATTAGATTTTATTACATACTTCGAGAAGGTATTTGTTGAATAATAAAACCTTCTAGTAGTTTATCGAGGGCTGGCCGTCCTTACCGCACGGTACAAATAAAACCTTCTAGTAGTTTATCGACGTTCGGGTGTTTCCGGTGTCCAAAATGGCCGCTTTATATAAATGAGAATTTTGGGGATAACTAACCCTAACCCTTTTTAAAAGACTGAACTTGGGTCTAATTTAGTTTTTACTTCTCTTAAAAGGGTTAGGGTTCGGGTTAGTATTCCCCTAAATACTCATTTGTATCAAGCGGCCATTTTGGTATGAGTTCTGGCTTGTTCTGGAATTTGTTGCTTCTAGTGGTGATAATATTTGTAACCGTGCGGTAAGGACGGCCAGCCCTCGATAAACTACTAGAAGGTTTTATTACTCAACAAATACCTTCTCGAAGTATGTAATAAAATCTAATCGGGTGTATTTTTATGCATATGCATACGTCCACGTCGTAATGGAGTCATATAATATAATGTTTATGGACAGCAGCAATGTTTGTAAGTACACGGGCAGGGGTGGACTGGACCCGATTTGAAACAAAATGAAATGTACATGTATATGTTTTTCAAAATAAATAAACTGATCTTCGCATCCTCTGAAAAATATAATGGTCTAAATCTCGGTACAACAATGATCTATGAGGGAGACACGGAAAAATTGAAATCTAGATTTTTTTATTTATTTGTCATTTCCCGTATTCTTTACGACATTCTTTTCGTTACATAGTTTGTTTCCTAGTTTCTCCGAACAAATCGATATCCGACCAAGTTCATAAGTTAATTTTAAATATTATAGGTCATATAATATTGACATTTGTAGTTTTTATTTGGTCGGCATTATGATTTTTTTAGTTTTTTATAGGTAAAACAGTCATCTTGCTCACGTTAACACGGGTGTCGTCATCGTTGGCATAGGAGGGGCGTTGGTGGCAGTACGCTTTAAGCTGTAAGGTCTGTCATTGAGTCAAATAGTTTGGTTTAGATCCAAGACTACTACTGACAACCTTTTGCCAATTGGGCCTTCGTCCAGTTTCGTCCCACTGTTACATATAATCTTGAAACAACCTAAAGCTCTCTTTCTCGTCTTTGTTTCACCTTAACCATACCAATGTTTCTTGTGTTTTATTAGCGATACCAACTACTGTTCCAACACCAAGTGATTGCCCGGTCTGGTGTCAAATAATAATTGCTGTTGTTGTTGTAGTGGCGGTGATTATTGGGGGTACCATTTACCTGTGCTATTGTTGCGGTTGTAAGTTTATTTTAAATTTATTTGATATATTATTTATAGACGAAAGGGAGAGAGACAAATTGTAAAGAAATGTATGGAATCTCTGTCATATTTTCTATAATAGCAACAACACTGGTTGTAGCAATCTGATCTACAGTAAATATTCATTTAACCACTACTATCACGGACAGGGATGACATAGCGACAAGTTAATTAGCTCGCAATATTAACCCCTTTTCTTCTGCAAATTAAATTCTAAAACAAGTTTTCAAATTATTAAGAAACAAAATAAATGTGTTGAAAGTTTATCTGGATAAACATATTTCCTATTTAGTGTAAATGGGTACATAAAATATTACGCGAAGGTGTAAAATGAGTAATAGGCTTTAATTTTGCCCGGACCAGTTTGTGTTACTACGTCCGATGTAAACAATATTTATTGTTTGTTTTAGGTTATTGCTTCAGAAATACAAAAGGTAAGTATATATATCTCGCTTTATTTAAAAGTAAAATTTGACAAATATTTGGTGATATCTTACAATGATAACGAATGATTGATTAATTTTTGTGAGTTGTATTGCTTTGTGATTGTATGTTAACACTTATAATGGCAGCAGAAGACACGAAACATCAGGAAAAAAAGACAATCAGGTAACAGGTGTTTATTAGATGAATGCCTTTATGGATGTAGAAGGTGATCATCTTCTGCTTAGGGTAAGCAGAGATGAGCAATTTGATTGGTTAATGTTTTGGGACACAATAACTTTGGTTCTAATCAAGTGGGGGTGATGAAACTTGGTGTGTAGTTTCATCACATCAATACCTTGACTAAGTGTGATAATGAGCAATTTTGGTAAGCAGAGCGATAAACAATTTGATTGGTTGAGACTTTGGAGCTCGATAACTTCGATTCTAATTGAGTGATATTGGTGAAACGTCGCGTATAGTTTCATTACATCAATACCTTTACGAAGTTCGATGCTGAGCATTTTCTGCTTAGCCAAAGTAGAGACGGGCCATACTATATACCGGAAAACAACCGGAAACCACCATTTTATACTGAATACCGGAAAACACCGGAAATACACTAAATACCGGAAAACATCCTAAATACCGGAAAACACCCTAAATAGGTAACCCGGAGCCTGGTCCTCTGTGTGCGGTTTTGGACCAAGTGAGCGCCGATGAAATAAGTTCATTAACATACAAGCGAGCGATCGCTTAACGGTCAAAGAAAAATTTCTTTTCAGATTTTTTTTAACAATTTCTTCTCCCAAATTTCTCTCAAAACAAAAATCAAATTTTTTCCCAGTATTTTTCTCTGTAAAATTATTTTCTACGGAATGTTTTTTTGTAAAACCAATTTTTCGGAAAAATTCGATTTTTTTTTTTTTTTTTGTGACAGAAAATTTTTTCGTAAAAAAAATTTTGGAGAAAAAAAAACCGGAAATTTTTTTTTTGGGGGGGGGGGGAGGGGGCGGCTATTTGTAAAACGAACATCGTAATGACCTTGACCTTCCTTCATCGGCGCTCACTTGGTCCAAAACCGCACACAGAGGACCAGGCTCCGGGTTACCTATTTAGGGTGTTTTCCGGTATTTAGGATGTGTTCCGGTATTTAGTATTTTTCCGGTGTTTTCGGTATTCAGTATAAAATGGAGTTTTCCGTTGTTTTCCGGTCTTTTCCGGTATATAGTATTGCCGCGTAGAGACTCCAATCTGATTGGTCGGCACTTTGGAACACAGTAACTCTCATTCTAATTGAGGTAGAATGTTCTAAATTGGTGTAGGTGTCTATTAAGTGAATGCCTTGACAGAGTGCGATCAGAGTAACATACCAACCTGACGTTTCTTTTGCTGCTTAGTATATAAAACATGTATCAATGTTACGTTTTAGAAAGCTTACCTTTCCGGGAGAAATTATTTAGTTTTGGGTTTGATTTTTCATTGTTATCTGGTTACTATTTACAAAATATATATGGCTAGATATTAATTTGAAAAAATTATCATACTAACATTACTGAGAATTTACGTGCATGGGCGTGAATTTAGGGGGGGGGGGGCGGCGTCCCCACACCCTTAGAATCGGAAGGGGGGGGGGCAATAGGTCTCCCTTCCTCCCCCCCCCCCCCCGGCATGATTTAGATCCCCAGGACAGATTTTCAGGTTTGACTTGGCCCACTACGGTAAATTAACGGAACTGCTGGTATCTGGACAATACGATAGTGAGCTTGTTTCTGCGTATCCGGAACTGACTGAATCGGGACAGTTTTCGACCAAATCTATTTCACTTTTGCACGAAGCGTTCCTCAGTATGTCACCTGAAGTGGGCCAGATGTTCCCTTCTGTCGAAGCGCTTTTCCGTCTCACACTGCTGAACCCGGATAGTTTTTGCTCAGTCGAGCGATCCTTCAGCACTCTGCGCCGTATCAAAACTTGGCTGCGCAACTCCATGACGCAAAAACGACTGAACCACCTGATGGTGTGTGCGGTGCATAATGACCTTCTTCATGATCAGGACCCAAAGTATGTCACCAAGATATCATAGAGAACA